TCTAAAATTTCGTGCCAAGTCAAACCAGGCCACTCTTTGTGAAACAGAGGGAGTAATAGTATTTTCTTCCTATTACAACTGTAAATATTGGGATAAAATTCATCAGTCTAGATACAGAGATCGAGTTTTAATAGTTACAATTAACTCAAAGAATTATTTTTAAATAAATTTCTTGATCATAATATCACCGGCCTAGCCAAGAAACTAAGGTAGACCTACATATTCTTGTAAAATGTAGGTCACTAATAATCTTTAGAGGGTCAATGATGTAGCACATCTTCAGAGATTAATATTGTAATGGCTATTTTGTCTAAATATGATTGTAATAATCATGTTAGAATATATCGAATTTATTTTATTCAGTAAAGAGAAAATGCTCTAAAAATCCAAACAATTTAATTTCATACTTTCCTTTTTTTTTTATTAGCTAGAAATAAGCGAAACCAATAGTTCCTGAGGGAGAGAGGAGTGGCTTGATGAAATAAACTTAAACAAGTAAAATTTACTCAAACGATTGAACACCTCCAACATTAATTGTTAGGTTAAGAATCTAAATCATGCAAACACTATTGATACGCGCGGGGTGAGAGAAAAAGAAAGAAGCTGAAATAAACCGCTTAATTACTAGTGGGAGACAGTTTTTTTTTCTTTTCTTAGCATTGACCTCCACATATCTTATTTATTTCCAGCAGCTATTTAAATAATAATTAACAAAGATCCTAAACTTATTAACTTATGGATTAGTGGATTTATGCTATGATCATTATATTGTTCATTGGTGTAACAACTAAGAATGCACCAAATGGCAATCAGACATTGGCTATGCATGGTCTCATGTAGTCTTGGAATTAAATGACCTTCATTTGATATCAATATTTTATTGTGGCAAGTACCAAAAGATGGGACGTAAATAAACTACCAAAGAAGAAAGAATATTACACACATATAATTGATAGGGATAAATGTCTGAAAAATATCTCAACTTTGGCCGAAATTGCTGTTACGATACCAAACTTTATGAAGGACATATTACCTCCCTGAACTATTTAATAGTGTATTTTTTACCCCATGAGCTATTTAATAGTGTATTTTAAAGGTATATATGTGCCCACGTGGACACATTACTATTTATAATTATGCATTATTTTTTATGTTCACGTGGGCAAATATATATGTTTAAAATACGGTATTAAATAGTCTGG